CGTATGGCCGGCACAATCGGGGCCGCATCGCCAGCCTGGACGGACGCAACGTCCTTCCTCGAGGTGGATTCCCTAAGGACGTGAGTAAAACGGCTTGCGAGCAAAGAAAGGATGTCTAGGGGAAAAAAGGAGAGATTAGTCGGGGCAGGTTTAAGGCTGCAGGGCAGCAGCCGCAGCAGCCGCTGACATTTTGGGTTTCAACGCCCACTTTTCCTTTTTTTTTTAAATTTTCCTTAAAAGCACAAAACGAGAATCTGCTTGGAAAAGCCGCGAGCTCGGTACAAGAACACACCGGTGCGTGTTAACGTAAGGAAAAAAGAAAAAAAAAAAAGAGTGTTTTTTGAGTCCAAAGAGGTGTAATTGGGAGAGAAAGCAAACGAGCTTTGTCAGTAGGTGATGGGAAGCGACGGCAGGCTCCAGGACCGGCGCCGGAGCAGATGTTCTCTACCTGCCTTGTTACTAATTTCAACAAGTGTTCGCCTTCTAGCTGCTGCCAGCAATGGCATGGTTTGTTACCATGAGCAATTTTCTTAATTAACAGACATTAATTAGCCATTTAGCAATTTTGCAAGCATTTGTTTAGCAGCTTTCCTAAACATGAATACCACTGTGATAATGGTACTGATTAGAGGGTCCCCTAATTAACAGTACAGGGAAGGAAAATTGAAATCACATAAATTAAAAAGGGAGGGGAAGTTAATGAAGGCAGGACATATTTGCACCTGCAAATCTTTTGTACGGCGGAAACTTGAGTGCAATGTAAATAAAGTAAGAGGGTGGGGTTGGGTTTTTTTCCCCTCTTTTTTTTTTTTTTTTTTTTTTTAATTTGAACAGTTCAGCGGCGAGATGGAGCCAAGCGGATTTAAACCAACCGCCTCCTGCCAGCCTCTCCCCTCCAGCCGCTGCATCCGGGGAAATCAAGTCCCACCATTTACACCACCACGTTATTCCCCAGGAGCCAAAGGCAACCAGCCCCTGCTGCCCGGCGAACCTTGGCTGGAAGAGGTCACAGCCCCTCAGGACAACCCGGTGCCGACACCACTGCCTTCTCCATCCACGTTGGAGAGGACAAACCTCAGCACCAACCTCCTTTAGCAGAACCTCTCCGTGCATGAAACTCGACTTATTTTTGCTCCTGAGGTGGCTAACTCCGTGCCAACGCGAACCGCACCGTGGGCAGCAGCCATCACCCCCCACCACGGGACATCACCCCTAACGAGGTCTGGCCACCACCAAAGCCTTTCCTACACGCCACAGCTGCAGGATTTTGGATAAGGAAGATCGGCTGAGGTGAATGAGTGATAAAACCAAGTGGAAGGGAAAACTCGCAGAGGCCAAGCCTCCAGTCCCATCGACGCGGGAGTCGGGAGGTGCCACGCCGCCCGCCTTGCTGCGCTGCGAGGTCACCGCTACCCAGGCACTGACTGCACAGGCACGCGGACCCCATCCGGGGGTTACCCCGGCGTCCTCCCTCTCGTATCCCACGGCGCATGAGGGTGTGGGGTCAACAAGTGTGGAATCTGTGGGGGACACGGTCACCTACACGCACCCTGGCAGGGCCCGGAGGTGATGCTCTGGGTCTGCATTGAGCCCCAGAGAAGCGGCATTTGGTTACTGTAGAAAAAGCATCTGTAAGACACGGCAGCATTTTCACCAAAATCCCCT